AGTGGCCTGAGGCTGTTAGGAATGGTGGGTGTTGCAGTCCAAAAGGTTTCAGTGGCTGAGGGGGAAAAGGAATGATAGGAGTTGCAGCCGAAAACAACTGGAAGGCGCAGGTTTGCCCAGGCCTGGTGTAGAGGCGCCTTCGCTCAGCCTCAGCCACGCCCCCACTTCTGCGATAAGAACAAGGATTTCCCTTGCTCTCCGGTCAAGGTGCTGATCTTGCTGGCCTCCTATTGGTCCTTCAGGCGCACGTGACGCAAGCGCGGGCCGGGGCGGGAAGTGCGCCTGCGCGCAGGCAAAGTGAGTGGTGTTTTTAATAGTGCAACTACTGGAGGAAGAGGAGGAGGAGGAGGGGGGAAAGGGGGAGGGCGGGCTTTTGGGTTTCCTTGGCGACGGGAAGTGAAGGCGGGCAGGATCCCTCTCTGACATGGGCAGCCGCCGCCGCTGCAAGACTCGGGCTCAGCTGCTGCTTTTGCCAACACTGCTGCTGTCAAAAGGGTAACAATAAGCGCAGAAGGCCGAGTGGCTGAGGAGGAGGAGAAGGCGGCAAGGGGAGCAGGTAAGCGCCTGAAGGGAGAGGGAGGCGTGAAAGAAAGGCTGGCGGGGCCTACAAGGAAGGAAGGAAGGAAGGAAAAGGGTGTCGGTTGTGGGGTGGCACCTCAGTGGCAAAGGCGAGGAGGGAGCTGCTTGCCCTGCCACGTTTCCTCTGCCTCCCTTCACTGCCTGAGCCTGGCTCTTAAATAACATAATACAAATGCAAATACCAGCCCCACAGTGAGTGAGGAGACGCTTATGTGTCAATCACTCTGCAATTACCCCTTCCTATTCATTGTATGGGGAGGGTAAACAGTGCTGCCCCTTTTGCAGGCTCTCTTTCCCTCCTTGTAGGGCCCTCATTGCTTTGGGATGGAGTGTGTCTTTATTATCCCCTTGGGGCTGGCCACTCCAGACAAAAGGATCTCATTTCAGTATCTTGTTTGTGAAGTGAGGAGGTGATGCTTGGTGTGTGTGAGGCTTTTAAACATAGGCCGAATGGCCATCTGTCGGGGGTGCTTCGAATGTGATTTTCCTGCTTCTTGGCAGGGGGTTGGACTGGATGGTTCATGACCTCTCCTCCAGCCCTAGGATTCTATGATGTTACTACAAGTTAAAAGGAAGGAAGGTGCCTAATGCTGTTAGGAATTGTGGAATTTGAAATCCGAAACAATTGGCGAGATGAAGTTTGCCCATACCTGGTGATATTCGGATCTGGCAGAAGTCCAAACACCTGGCAGGCCGAAGTTTGCCCATGCCCGGTGTAGGCGTACCATTTTAAACAGTGTATTTTAATATTTTGATAAATGTTTTTAATGTTTATGTATACTCATATGAATTCTTGCTCTGGCATTGAATGTTTGCCATATATGCTTTGCTCCGCCCTGAGTCCCCTTCGGGGTGAGAAGGGCAGAATATAAATGTTTTAAATAAATAAATAAATAAACTTAGGTCTGCCAGGTGTTTTGGAATTCAACTCTCACAATTCCTAACAGCCGGTAGACCTGGTGTAGATGCACCTGGTGATATTTGGCTCTGTCAGAAGTCCAAAACACCTGGCAGGCCAAAGTTTACCCATGCCTGGCATAGATGAACCTGGTGTAGACGCACCCTGAGATTTCGTAACATTGAGCCATTGCATATACAGTGGCCTCAAACTTCATTAGTTCTACAGTGTACACCAGGCATGGGCAAACTTCAACCCTTCAGGTTTTTTGAACTTCAACTCCCACAATTCCTACTGTTAGGAATTGTGGGAGTTGAAGTCCAAAACACCTGGCGGGCTGAAGTTCGCCCATGCCTGGTGTAGATGCACCCAGTGATATTTGGGTCTGGAAGAAGTCCAAAACACCTGGTGGGCCAAAGTTTGCCCATGCCTGGTGTAGACGTGCCCGGTGATATTCGGGTCAGGAGGTACAGTAGCTTTTGAGTCTCTTTTCGTGTTGGAGGTAGAACAAAATTGTTTGAGTTGATTGACATGGCCGCTAAAAGGGTTCTTCCTCCTGTAGACATGAACTTAACTGCCATGGAATGATGGGAGTTGTAGTTTGGTGAAGCACCAGCAAAGTCAGCTATGGAGCTTGTAAAATTACAAGTCCCGGGATTCCATACCATTGAGACTTGGCACTTTAAGTGATGTCAGACTGCAGTAATGCTACTGCACCCAATAATGTTCTGATCTGGCAGTCTTTAGGGAAGCAGGTGACTTTTGTGACTTTGTACATGTTGGTGTGTCATCAGAGAAAAACCAAATGGTTTGCTATAATAATAATAATAATAATAATAATAATAATAACAAAAATAACTTCATTCTTCTATCCCGCCACTATCTCCCCAAAAGTACTCAGGGCGGCTTACAGATGGCACAAAGTGCCTAAAAACAAAACATAAAAGTGAATACAATATAAAATACAATAAAATAAAACACATACACATATAAAACATCAACTCAGACTCAATCAAGTGCAGTCCTCAACCATGGCGGTAAAGATGGCCAAGCTGTAAGCATTAGGAATAAAATAAGTACCAGCTGCAGTAATGGAGAGAGGGTTAAAGTGCAGGATATGCGACTATAACACAGGACAACTAGGGACTAAATATTCTCAAAGGCTTGATCAAAGAGCCACGTCTTCAAGTCCCTACAAAAGGAGGACAGTGAGGGGGGTCACTTAAAGAGTTCTTCCTCTCTCAGACCTATTAGGCTGTGCTCCCTGATGCTTACAACCTCACAGAAAGGTTCTTACCCCCTCCCTTCTTGTTCGCTACTGGCTCTGCATTATTATCCTTGGTACATTAGCAGCTTTGATGAATACCATACTTGCCAGAAGGCTGATGCTCTGGTCTGGAATCCACTCCCCCGCGTCTGTCTCTGAGCATCAGCCAGGCTCCAGAAAAGGCATTGATAGTGATTAGCTAAAGCAGTACCCAGGTTACGCACGAAAGAAAAACAACGCATTACAGTGCTGGGCAGGAGTCTCATTAACACAGCAGCGAAATGCAATTGCAGTCCGAAGGAGAGAACTGTAGAAAATAAACAAGCATGATTGGAAACCTTGATTATGAAATGTATTTGTTTCCTCTCCCCCCACACCACCCCCCGACCTGCAGTAGACAACTTCCTCATATTGTTTTTGATTGCTGCTGTCACTTCTGTTATTTTCTTCTGCTGTAGCAAACTTGGAATCTCACCAGGCCAAGAAATACACTGGGGAAGCCCAAAGTCTTTGATGGTGATGCAATGGTTTGAGTCAGAAGAGCTTACTCTGGCTCTTAATCTCAGATGAATCATAGGAATTGGGACTGAGAAAGTTTTCAGTTACATTTAGGGTCTCCAAGGAAAGCAGGCAAGCTTTGATATTACAGAGGTGTCCTTCAGTGCTGGGTGCCATCAACATAATAGCTGGGAGAGTAGCTGACAGACATTTACTTTCTCAAATAAGGGCAAAGCACCAAACAGGCCAGAAAGAGCTTGTCCTCCTTTTGTACTTGAGGAACTCTGATCCTTTTCACAAGTGAATGCAATCCTAAACATGTTTACTCAGATGTGTCACCAAGCTTTGTTGTTGTTCATTCGTTCAGTCGTTTCCGACTCTTAGTGACCTCATGGACCAGCCCACGCCAGAGCTCCCTGTCGGCCATCACCACCCCCAGCTCCTTCAAGGTCAATCCAGTCACGTCAAGGATGCCATCCATCCATCTTACCTTTGGTCGGCCCCTCTTCCTTTTTCCTTCCATTTTCCCCAGCATCATTGTCTTCTCTAAGCTTTCCTTTCTTCTCATGATGTGGCCAAAGTACTTCATCTTAGTCTCTACTATCCTTCCCTCCAATGAGCAGTCGGGCTTTATTTCCTGAAGTATGGACTGGTTGGATCTTCTGGCAGTCCAAGGCATGCCCAGAAGTTTCCTCCAACACTACAGTTCACAGGCTTTATTTGCATGTAATTATGTTTATGATTGTGTTCTATGGAACTGATGGTGAGCCATCTTATTGTTTGTGTAAATATTAAAAATAATCCTGGACTTAAAAAAAAGATATTGAAGGAAATCTAATATATGTTATCTCACACAGGCTGCAGTGATTGATTATCCTTGTGCATTCTGGTTTTTCATGTTTGTAAAACAAAATCTTGGTATCCTGATTTTAGGACTTTCTCTAGGGTTATTTGGGGCACTTATTCAGAAAATTGCATTGGGTAGACCACATTAGCTGTAATTTCTTAGATTTGGTTGAATTTATAATAGAAAGTGTGGTATGAAATAAGTAGATTTTCATAGCATTAATACACTTTTCTTTTAATTTTTAATTCCTTGATGCTTACAACATATTAATTTAAACACATTAAAATATCCTGATTTTTTATGGACGGAGCAGAGTAAATAGTGCTATATGGCATATGCCCTGTATCTCACAAATTAGAGCTGATAGGGGAAAACTGGTGCCTTTTTTGTGAATCAGCAGGCCAAATATACCAAGAAACAGGTCTAACATTTGAGGGACCAAAATGTGTGTAGACCTGTGTTATTCATCTTTATTTTTTCCATAGTAATTTGTGCAAGGCAGAGTAGGTATCTGAATTTACTTTCCTATTTTCAAACTGAATATTTCATCCTTTGAATCATTATGTCTCTTGAGCTTGTTTTTAATAGGGACATGAAATATTTGAGTCATACTGTCACCTTGATGATATTTGCTGTTGTATGAAATACCCATCCAGCAATTTGAGATCATTTAAGTAGATCATTTAAGTGCATCACTTAGCCAATCCCCGGTATTTATCTTTCTTCCACATCGTACATTAAATTGCTGTGTGTTCTGTCAAATAAACACACTTAGAGTAATTCTCTGTTTATTATCTATTATTATCTTTTCTGAACACATCACTCCTCACGACTATTTGCACGATCGGCTGAAAGCTGTTAGGCTTTGTGCATACATAAAAGTATAAAGGGTTCTTGCTTAAAAAAAGTTGTTAAACATTCGCAGATTTTCCCAGTATCATTATTTTATCATTTTATGTTTTTTAAAGCTGTTATTTTCTTTTTCACCTTTTTAATGATATTAGGAAAACTGAAACCTACTTTATTGTGATTGTACTGGAGAGAGTTTTCATTCATGGGGTCACCATAAGTCAGAGTTGACTTGAGGGCAGTAACCAACAACAAACTGCAGATTTAGAAAAGCCTGGAGGTAGAGAAGTAACTAATATTTGATATTAACATCCATAGTGATTCTTTTCTTTATGGCCTTTATGTTTGTCTCTGAGTTTCACAAATATTTTTGCAGAATCTTGGTTGGAGTTCTGTGAATAACCATTTGAAATACTACTTCAAGCTAATCTCAGGAATTTCCTTTACATGTTATTTTCTAGAAGATTGTTGAAGATTTTTACATCCTACTTATAATTTAAATGTATGTAAATATAGACTCAATGTTCCAGTTGGACGCAATTTAATGGAAAAAGTCAGCTAGAATCCGGATTAAGTAACAATATATACATTCGGTACTATGAAGAACTCTATTTTATT